GTATCCAAACAATGAAAATCCAAAATTTACCCTCACACTAGCCTATGGGCTCCTACACATGGCCTTAACCCGTTTTGATATAAGCCCACACCCGCGTTAACACTACTAGCACTCCAGAAGTAGGCAGCTCGGAATTCTCAGTTTCCCCCTTGGTTGATGATAGATTTTCACTGGCAGGACCCACACTCTGCAGTGGGTGTGCACAGGATAACTCGCCCGAGATGAAAGCGGAGGTCCCGCTCGGCCTGCACTCAGGTCTAGAGCTGCGGCAAGTGCTTCATAGACTGAGCTCTACCAAACGTACAGCTCACAAATCAATATTTTATCAATGTGTCTAGGTCCTCTGTGCGAGAAACTCTCTACGCGTTTGTGTCCGTTCATAATACGTCGCATGTAGGTAAGACAACATCCGAAGACCGCCCAAGAACAGGTGCGTGGCTTTCATTTTTTTTTATTTTTTTAATAACAAAACAGGACTCGAAATAAACCGAGCGTTCGAAAAAAAAAGGTTAAGCAGCATTCGCACGAACTTTTTTGACAGTTGACAGTGAATCTGAATTTTTGAGGGCCCTTGCCTCCAGGGCTGCAATGGTACTCACAGGGATTGATGTTCATGGAAAATATGGTTGGTTTCTCCAATGCGATTATAAAGTACCATTTAGAGGGTGTGAGCCCTTGTCCCCGAATGGCGTGTCGCGCTCGTCGCAGAAATGCGATGGTTGATTGGAGCGCGAAAAGTACGAGTCAGATTTGCGATGGATGGTTCGGTGGTATTGAATTGTCTCTATAGAACCTTTTTCCCTTATGAAACCTCACTGATCAGTGACTACCGAAGGTGATAACATGAAAACAGAAAAAAATCAAAGTAGACCAGGTAACAAAAAAGCGATCCTATCGATTAGAGAGGAGGCGAGCCATTTACGGTAATTGCAGTTCGAGACAACTAAAAAAGACTTGGCGCATGCAGCCCAACGAACGTGGGAGTTCTCAGGGAGAAATTCTGCCATCCTCATTGGAATAATGGTTCACCTTGAGATCTGAATTAATCAATGCGAGCCACTCCTAAGATCGACCACAAGGTCCATCACATAAGCGAGGGAATCCGCGACCGGGACTGGTAGCTCATAAAACTTAACTGTCGTTGATTACATATTTTTGTAGTCTGAAAGATGCGCACCGCGCCCTCGACTCCCATTCAGAATCGCAGCGCTTATCGAATGCGTATATTGCCCATACAATGCATTGTGGTGACCAGCCGGCGTACAAGTCGGTACATTTATCCTCCTAAACAAATGAGGTACCCATCAACCGAACAGGCAGAACAAATGCTAGCCAAATTCGAGAGCGACCTGAGACTGAACTAACACAACGAAGGGTACGAAGGGTTCATGGAAACGGATGGGTACCGGATGCTCTCTTTACGCTGAACAGAACGAATATCTCTGAATGATCTTGTGTATCTAGGTCGAGAAGTCAACATGATGTAGGCCTAGCTCCGAAGCAGAGGGTAAAGAAACGCATGTGTGAATATCATCCAAGGATATCGATAAAGTAGCGAAGAAGACAGAACGTCTGGCTCTGACCTCATCTTTTCGTCAATGCGGTCATTTCTTCCTCGGCACATACGGGGCCTTAGACTCTGCGCAAGCAGGATGAACATATTGCCACCGTTACTCAACGCGCTTTGGAAAGGACGATGCTTGGAATTTTCCTGTACACGTGAGTGCAAAAGGGAATCTGAAGTTTGGGGGGGGGGGGGGNGCCAAGAAAACGAAATCCAGTTGGGCCGGGCACTTCATGAGATATAGTGAGGACCGTTGGATCAGGGCGGTTACGGACTGGTTCCCTCAGGACGTCAAACGAACGCCAAGACTTGGCCAGACTTCTTCGCGGAGACTCTGAACGAAAAGTATGCTACGCATCTGTCCCTCGGGCAAGGACCATCCGCTGGACCACTTTGGCTCCCGACAGGGACGACTAGAGACGTTGCTGGCGCCCGTCCGAGGAAATCGATGACCAACGGGACTACAGATGATGCGGGTGATTATTGTTATAATTGAGTATTTTCCATAAATAGCCCGTTTACGGTGAATAACAATAGTGCCGGGAGAATGCAGCTCTTACAATGTAAGAGCCTTCAAAAAGTACTTGGTCAGGAAATCTCTGAATGTACTACAGTAGAGCCAGGTATCTAGTTTTGTAAAGTGTTTCCCTTGACGAATTTTAAACAATTTGTTGAAGCGTACATGAGCAGGTTTTTCGTGTGGAATTTCTCTACTTGAGAGACATTACACGTGTAAAAGCGTGAATATTGATTGATTGACCTCGATGAGGTTAGCCATGATTTTCGCTCGCCTAATCAGTCAATCAACCATAAAAATGATGGAAAATTTTTGCCAAAACAATCGCGGATTTGAGAAGATCTTGAGGAAAACTCGTCCAAATCAAACAAGGTCATGATGGGTTACGCCCACAAATGGGTACGAGTTGCTGATGGTCTCAAACATGTACTAGGCCACAAATTCCTAAAATCTGCTTACCTCACTTCTAGAAAGCAGTGAACCCCTCCAGCTCTCATGGGTCGATATTTCCACGTTGGTCAGTACAGTGGATAAAAGCATGGCACCTAAAAAGTACAGGTTCATGTTCGGGCCCCTTCCCAAGCCAGACGTTTTGTTTGAAACTTAGCACATTTGGGAAGATATTTATATCGTATTTTACGACAAAAATTAGCAATCAACGAAAAGTAAACAAAAACAAACAATCATTTATTCGACTATATACAGACATTTCACCGAAATTTTCAGACATTCAGATCCAAATAATATAAATAAAACAACTAATTAAGCACAAAATATAAAACAGACAACAACGGAGGGTTCACACGTTTATGGGCGAAAGTGACAATGGGTTCAGGCTCCCGTACGGATCATAAATGCGAAGACGATGGGATTCTTCTTCAGCCAAGTATCTTTTCTTCAATTGAAGGGATGTGTTTGACATGACCACGGCCTGGTAGTACCTGAAGTACTGGATGAGTAAATGGTAAAGCCAATATCTGCAGTTGATCTCATAGCATCGTTTTCGGAAATATTGAAGTAACGGAAATGCCGTTCGTAGAGAGGAGACGGAGGACGTCAGCCGAAATAACTCCCAAACAGTTTGGATCACAGAGAAAACGACTTTGAGTTAGTCTGGAGACTTACCGTACCCTACAGAAATCTCTATGATTACTGTACAATAGGAACGACCTCAATTCTTACAGTACCCTATTGTGAAGTTCCCAATGGAAATTCCTATTAACAATCTCATAGAGAATAGAATTCCACAGAGAATTAAGGCGAGGGCAATGAAAATAATAGGAAATATTCAGAAAATTTTGGATTTCCTATTTTTCGAAGAGGCATGATTTCGTTTTTTTCTCAAAATCTACTCATGAATGTTTTATTTTACCTTTTCTCTTTTCTGTAGTAGGCCAAAGCAGTGAGGTAGACGATACATAGTACTGTCGAAAGCACAAAAAGAAGAGTCACAAATATAAAGTACTGTGATTCTGAAAAAAAAGTACATTTTAGATCATCCTTCATTCCATTTTCTTTCATCCCTTTCTATTTCTATCAAACTTGCTTGGATCACCCTACAGCTCCCACATTTACTGTCTACAGTGAGACTTATAGTAGCGGTATACTGAGCAGATAGGCTGACCTCAGCCAAGCAGATTTTGCCTCAAGCAAATCCTGGCAAGCTGTTAATCCCTAGGTTGTCGGTGAATCCAAAGAAGCTAGACATCACCAAGGGTGTTGTGAAAGGTCGAAAGGTCACCAGTGACTCTACTTTCCCACTCCTCCCTATAGACCATAAGAGTGTGAGAGTGCTTTACAGTTCTCGGAAAAAGGCTATCTAGGCGTTTACCACACCCTTCAAGTGACCCCGTTTTTGCTGTTTTTGTGAAGAACTCTTGTATAAAAATAGGAAAGGATGGTAGGAAGAAACTGATTGACAGGAGAATTACCCTGAACTAAAAATTCCATTCACGGCTATGTGAAAAACGCCATCAATATGAAGTAATGAGGACCCCAAGACCTCCCTCCGCCCATTCACCAGTTACGCCCCCCCCCCCCCCCCCCCCCCCCCCCCCCTCCCCTCTCCATCCCACCCGAGTTGCGCAAGCAGAACAGGTAAGATATTTCCGATCGTGTGCTCAGTCCCCATGTCTATACTTCCAATATGACCCCAAGATTATGGCTCTAACAAAAGAATCTGCTTACCTCGAGATATTACTCCATCTGATACTTTTCTGACATTAATCGCAAAGAGAACCGTGTTTCCATTTGTGGCCAATATCTAAAACGGGACCGATTACAGTTCTACATTGTAAGATAGGAGAAGTCCAAGAAATATGTATTATAAAAATCTCAGATGACCACGATATAGGAGCAGAGAATAAACGGACTATGGGATTGAGGGCCCTTCAGATTACTGAACACCTCTCACTTGAACAGAGTTCAATCAGGATTGCGCAATGGCTTCAAGGATCTCGTCCATATGCTCAGCTTATCCACTGTCTTTAGAAGTGGTCAATGTAAGAGGGAAAAAATAACTTTTCCGAAAATACCATCACCCACCGATAGGAATATGTGAAGAGGTTGAGGTACACAACGTTCCAATGTGATTCCAGCCAGAAAAATCGAAAATATCAGAATCCATTGAGAGCAAACTGAATAGAGCAATGCCTCTTCACCTGAATGGATGATATCGTTTTTTCAATGAATAGAAAGGGCATTTGTTTGTTCAAGTCGATCCCTTGGTTCCGACAAAACAAAGCGAAATGGGCCTTAAAACCTTATGCTCCCTTCTATAATTCGAGAGATACTGTAGCTTTTAGTCTGGATTACCAAGTTTTCTCAGGTACCCTTTTTTTTCTCAAAATTCCTGTTAGAGGGTTATTACCTACTTCAAGCAGGAATTAAGGAGGAGTCGACCAAAAAACTCTAAATTTCTATGGAAAGAACCAAAAAATAATGAAAATTTACCAAAAATATCGTCGAAGATGTTCTGCTTCGCCAATGGCATCCGTCCATAGTTGTGAACAAAACAAANTTTTTTTTTTTTGATAACGAGCCAAATATTTTTCTGTGATTTTGCCACTGATCTCCAACCTCATTGACGATTACTTGAGCATATTCCTACCATTAAATTAGTTTGTTGACATAAACATCTGTTAATCAATAAAAATTAATTAATAAACCACTCATTTACTTATAAGTTAATTTGCTCATTTCATTTAATTACTATTACTTGCTTCGAAGGTATCTAAGGCAATAAGCCAACAAAATCACTCATCAAGCGCTGGCTCTACCCAAGGAAGTAGTGCTTAACATAAATTAGAGGTGTAAAAAAATATCGAGACCCTATTCACTTATATTGTTTCTAATTTTAATCAAGAATAATACTCGGGGGTAAATAACAGTAAACAGTGGTAATGTCTAATAATTTACATTGGAGACTATGTTGGTCAAACCCAAATTGATTATGCCTTTCGAAGACAAAATTGCCTTCAATCTAGCCTAGATTTTATTTTATAATTCGAATTTTCTCTTGCGAGACATAATAAATGGGAAGGATAACTATCGATTACAAAAGCGTAAAATCAATAAATATTCTAAGCTCCAGGAACTGTTAAATGAGTTGTAAAATTAACAAAAATTAAAGGAAAAATTAAGAAAAATGAGTTAGAACGATTGTAGTCAACTCACTGTAGTGAAAGGAATCCAGTCTAGTTTGATTTCGTTCGACTTCAATGTTTTCGCATGAATTCGTTTAACCGGCTGAAAAAGCAAGAGCAATNCCTTGTCAGAAAGAAAAAGGGCGAGGCTACGAACGGTCCATCAAGAACTAAGATCCTACCTCTTCAAAAGGAATAACGTACGGTGATGGCGATGTCGCTTGAGGAGTGCTGAATAGCGGTGAAGGAAATGACATTTTGGCTAACACGATGTCTCATTGGCTTATATAGCATTTCTCAGCGGCCCTTTTAGGAATCTGCTAATGGCAAGTCATCTGGTGACGACGGACTTCTTTTATCGTCGGCTCAACGCTACCTTTGATAGACCGCCTCTCAGAATGCCAATAGGTGGCAACACTTCAGCGTTGAATTCTATCCAGCTGGGTCAACCGCTACATATTTCTAACTGAAATGCCTCCCTTTCAGTAAACAAGTACATAAACAAGTAATGCGATCTAACAAGGACTCCTAAATAAATGATTGGTTGAAAAAATGAAAAAATGAGGCGACAAACGAAAATGAGCATTTTTCGAGGCTCTACAGGGACCTTCAATGACTAGAAAGGTCTGCATTATTTATGTTTTTCCTATTTTCTTAATTTATGTACACCTCCATTTTTCTTATTGCCATATTTTATCACGATGTTTCATTGAGGTTCCCAGGTTTTACAGATGAAAGAATAGGTGAGTAAATGAGTAAACAAATAAACAGCACTCTCAACTTTCAGAAAACAACAACAAAAAACGACTTTTTTTCATAATTTGCAGTAATTTATAGTAAAAATCGTTACGTCCCGAACACCTCTTACAACACCTGATTGCCCCTACCTCGTAGGAGCATCCAAAAATTCAATTTCATGGGTCTTGGTGAAGGCCCTGACTTTTGTCAAGAGTTCGTCGATCTGGGGCAACCAGGGCAAGCGCCCTTCTCGTGAAGCGTATATACAACGGGTCAACACTAGAGTAGAGGTACTCACCATATAGGCAGCAGACACAGAGAAAGAGCATTTAACTGGTTGCTGTCAGTGGGTGGCATTCGACGTTCCCATCGATCAGACCTGTCTGAAGAAATATTTCCTTGGTTATGGCGTGTCGTCTAACGCTGTGTACTCTTTTATATTAACTGTATCACACAAAATTAGTTTATGGGCTTTTCTTAGTTTGTTTATTTGTTTACCTGATACCGGAAATCTTTCCTAATATTGAACTTCACCAATGCTGAACGGGCACCCCTAGTTAAGCATCCGATGAATAGTCCCCGTATGTGTCCTCACCATGGCGTTTCTCGATCAGAAGCTCACCAAAAAAAAACTTCCCGTCTACGCATTGGTGATTTCCTGCAGATGGTACCGCCGCTGCTTCTAAATCTTGACTGACAGCCCGATGCCCAAGATTAGACCAACCGGAAGACCAGCGTTTTCGCTTCTCCGACAATGGGTCCAGTTCCGAGCTCTTTGCTTTCGCTATGGATGCTTTTTGTAGTCAGCTTGATCTTCAGAGGCTCGTGCCTTCTGCTTAGGCCTCCATGTGCTATTCTTCTGCTTCACAACCCACTGGGCTTCATCGTTCCAAAACTACGATGCTAAGCCTCCTCCCGACCATCTTGCGTCTTCTTTTGTGCACTATAGAATTACATCCATGAGTTGTTCCAAGCTTGCTGGAGCGGGCTTTAAAAATTTGGGAGACCATCCCTGAAGTCTCTGCTCGAGAGAGGAAATCATTCTCATCCTCTTGGTGAACATACCTTCAACGAAATTTCTGCCTATTCCCACCCACTCTTTTTTCTTGAGAGGTTGGTGGGCATGACTGCTATGGCAGGCCTAAACTGCGAAGTCAACCTTTCACCTAGCAACTCCTCTATCCTGTACAGTACCGAACGGTAATCTTCTTCCGAGGACATGGTCGATTTAGATTTTCCTACCTCTACTGCACTAAGTTACCTACTGAACTTAATTTTTGAACGCATGAGCCTTGTCGTAGATTCCCGTTTTAAGTTCCGTTCCCATAAGATGCGCCACACATCTGATTCCCACTCAAAATCATGAAAACTAGAATGCGCTTTGAATATATGGCCGATGAATTCAAATTTCCCCACGAGGAACAGGTTGGGCGAATAAATAATAGCCTATATTACTCCAAAAACCTGCATTTATAACGTCGACCCCATTTACATCGCTAGGTAGCATCTACCCTTCATTTCCACCTTTATTTCGCTCGAGTAGATCTGTGTGCTTTAAGTTCCTCTTTCACATATCATATTGCTATGCTTGTCAAATCATGCCATGCATCCCAATCAGCTATGTAGTATTCAGAGAGCAGGTACTGCTGAGATATTTCCTACTCTCCTTCAAAATTGGTTTTCTGCCATAAAAATCCAGTAGATGGAATACATGAAGTGTACTATTTATGCACATACCTTCAGAAACCCAACCATGTTTCTTCCCGATCTACAGATCTTCAGTGCGGCTCCCGATACCTTCAAACCGTCGCAGTCATCGTGTAGGATAGATTGCCATGATTTTTGCCGGCACTGACGACTGATAAAGGTAGTCCACACATTGAAATCGAGAGAATGGAGAAAAAATTGAAAAAATAATATTTTAAGCATATATTCTGTAATTGAAGGGAAGGGTTTTCGAAGAATTTTATGAACGAATAAGGGCCGATAGAATTTTCTGTAGTTCCCATCCCAATCAATAGTTTACTATCATTTGATTGAATATCTGGTGAAAAAATGTTTTCCACGCGAAACACTACAAGAATTACCGATGGAAAACCTATGACGAAGCAAAAATTGCAAATAGATGCATTATGAATAAATAAATAAACAAATAAATAAATAAATATAACCAACAGCTAATACGACAAATACTTTATTTTCGAGAAAGAATTGGAAACAATAATTAACTTTCGAAAATATGCAATTGAAACAGTGTGAATGAATCCCTCAACGCACAAACCTGATTGCTCCTACCAAGTAGGAGCATCCAAAAATTCAAGCCCATGGGTCTTATCGAAGGCCCTGATTTGTTTTAAGATTTCACACAACCCAATGTACTAGGGCACGCGCCCGTTTCGTGATGCGTACTCATAGCGGGTGATTGGTACGTGGAGGTTCTCATTGAGTAGGCAGCAGAGAGATAAAGAAAGAGCACCAGCTGGCTGCTGTCAGTGGGAGGCATCCCACGTACCCATCTACCAGTTCTTCCACTGGCGGTGACGTGTCGTTTAACGGCTACAAACTCCACTTATCTACAAGTTGTTCCACGCGAAATTTGATAAAGGAGCTTTCTTGTTTGTTTTCCTGTTTACTTGCTTGTTACATGCACCATAAAGAAAACATAAACATTCTCAAGTCATCAACGTAAGGTATCCTCTTGAGAAGAGGTTCTTGTGAAGCTGTCATTTGCCAAATGCCTGCCAATTGCCATGATTTCTGGGTGATTAGCAATTCATTTGTTTATTGTCATGTGTTGCTTATTTACATCAACGTTGTGTTCAACTGGGTAGAAGTTTAGCGAAGTGGCTAGAGACGCCGTTGGCACTTTTGGAAAGAGAAATCGCCTCATTTGGTTCAAGTTCCCATATCACAGGGATCGGCTGCTTTGTATTAGAGTGGACGGTAAAAGCAAAGACAAATACATATTGGCCGTAAACCACTTCTAGGAAGCTGTAAAATGGATTAATTAGTAGGACGAGGACCTTCATGGTTTCGAAAGATTGAAGGAAGCATGGCGCATCCTCTCGAGAGTGGTGTTCGATTTGCTCTACTGGTAATAGTATTGGGTAATTGACTGTTTGCAGTTTTGTACGATCGACCAGTCTGGGACCGGCTACAGTTCCCCCCCCCCCCTTTCCATAGAAATGAGCAACTCCCATCGTTGTCTATCCAAATTACGCTTCGACCAGCGTCGTTTGATGGCGCGGTTTCAATGCGCGCCGTCATCATCTAATGGCTCATTGGTTCGATTCCGCACAATGCATTCATGTGTACTCGCTGATCCCCAATGGTACAACGAGAATGTGCTGAATGCCATATAATGTCTGAGGAGTGTGTTTGTACTTCAATCATCATGGTTAAGTTCTAATGTGACCTCAGTACATTTTAGAGAAAGGGGAAACTAATGTCACCCCCCTCCCCCTTCCCAGGAAATTTTTAATTGGGGACTGACCATAAGTGTACCAACACCATCACACTCAATCTCGTATTCTCAAATCAGTCAATAAAATTCGTAAACAGAACAAAACAAACAAGTCCCCTTCCCTGAATTCAGCTACCCAAACCAACCAGTGGTGACGGGGCCAATATTATTTAATCATACTAAACATATATACCACCACGATCGACTTTCTTTTAACCTTGTCATGACTTTTCACCGATATGTATACAGCTAGATAGCAGCTACAATGACCTTTCGATAGTCTAGGCCAAGGTGGTGCAAGACCAAGTGAATCCGTGTTCTGCGCGTCGCATGCGTCGGGGTTCAAATCCCGGATTGATATCAGCCCAGACCAGCCAAGCCCTTCGGGGTCCAGTTCATTGGTACCAATAAAACGTCACTACTAAATGGGTCGAATGCAGGGCGCATAACACAAACGGGACGTACCAACGCCAAAAAACCTTTTATCCGACTTCATTTACTCATCCTCATTGCTCATACTTACCAATCAATACTTAACTAGTACTTAGAGTGGATTGCTTGCATGCGAGCAGCCAAACTCACCCCCCGAAGTCTCAAAGTCAACGTTGGGTTAGCAAAAAACGATCAGCTGGAGGACATAGCAATACCTTTCGCACCGCAAAGTCTTCCCAAACAATTGTATTAACGATACGGTAATCATAGTTACCTATCAACACTTCCAAGTAACTGCAACTGCTTACAGTGCAATAAATAATGCCCGACAGCTTCGAACAGAAGGAAGTGAACGAATTTATTCAGCACTATACAGTATCAAAGCAAAAGACATGTCATTCATTCATAACAGATAGGGGGCCGAATTTGATAGCAGACGGCGGGGAAATTGGCGAGAAATTGAATAAGGACAATGGAAAGGAACACACAAGTGTATTAAATCATAATAATAGTAATAGAAGTAAGCAAATAGAAAGGCAAAAATAAAGTAAACATCAAACATAACGAATGTGCGGCACTGTAATTACACTTTCAATAAATGTAGTAGTTTCCCAGATAAACTAATACAGACACACACAACAGTTCCCCAANTTGTGTTTCTCATGAATACCCTTATCAATCCGATCGATAATTACAGTACGATCTCAAATCTTTAGTTATATTAATTTCCTTTACAAATAGAAAAAATAGGTGTAATTAGGGGATCACAGGACCAAAAGCACCATTACTTTGCCTCAAATCTCTGCGCCAAACCGTTAACTAGAGGTTGAAGGCAATCTTGCAATGCTTACGAGCAGCTTCACAATCGATCATATGGATAAAAGCGTAGGGACAGGGCGAGAACGACTAGGGTTGGCACGGAGAATGGTCGCCATGTTCGACAGTTCCGCCCACCTCGGACGAGTTCGCTGTGGTTATACACATAAGGGTGTTGAAAGACGATTCAGTTTTCACACTGCCAAATCTCTCTCCTCAAGGAAGCAATATAGCACAGTAGATTTAAAAGCAGCTGACAAACTAAAGTTAACGCCTGGCTGTTTACCACTAGAGCAAGGTGAGCGGAACTTCTGGCTGCTTGATGGCATCACGCCCATATTTGGGCCTAATCTCCAACACCCGTAAAAATTGGCTGGGCCTCTGACTTACACGCGTACCGAAAACCGGCTTTCATATTAAGAAGGGGGTTTTTGATCACAAAACGTGTCATGATTAAATGAGACCTAATGACAGCTAATGGTTAACATCACCCCAGTGAGAATGTTGACTATTACATACACAGTCAATCAATAAACATATAATCAATCTATACTTGAAACTGCGAATTGGTATCAATTACCATCACAGGATATAACATATTATCGGCATAAAGTATATGTGAACCCCAACGCACTCGTACAGCACAGCATTAGCAATAATATAAGAGCAATACCGACAAACAGCGCACAGCTATACCCATAGAGCGATAGACTTGGCAGGGTAGCGAACGAAGACAGAAATGGAAGGGTGCGTCGCCTACAGATCAGGACAGCACTAATTCGCGAAAATACAGCAGAACCATTCGGAGGATGCTAGGTGGTCTTTTACAAGACAGATGTCCTCATGGGACAGCGTCAACATCGGACTAAAGATTTTCAAATCAGTCCAGCTCAAAACCAGCTGCCGAATATTGATGAAGAAGAAAAATACAAATATAGTTGTAAAAATAGAGATATTAGAAAATGAATGCACGAACTAGATTAGGAAAAGCACACCAAATCTTGACCCGACAGCGCGATAACTTCAGAACTACACAGAACCATGTACGAGTGCGTAGTACGATGACGACGACTACGTAGACGCTCAGAGAGATGGTGGCGGAATTGCCAACGGATCCGTGGTCGCACTTCCAGTGGTTGGAGCCTGGAAAAACTTTCAAAATGAGCGGCTGGAGTCAATCAATTCATATCCTCTCATTACGAGGAATCAAAAGTTCCCACCCAACCAACAGTTCCATAGAACAGTTCGAAAAGAGCGGTCGCAGGTAATAAACAGAACTAAGAAAGGGAAAGAGTTTATGGTTGATTCAACAGCGAACATACTAAAAAGTGCTATTTGGGACGGTTATATAGGGCTGCGTATGGCCACACCACATTAATTTCCACAACATTTTTTCCCAAAATCAACTTTGTTCCCACCGTTGAAAGGGGTAAAATCACCGTTACGGATCATAAAACCCTATATCCCACGCCAAAATAAATTTAAGTGATGCAGATTTCCCAAACAAGGAGTTCGTGGAACTTAAAACGAGCAAATTTGAAACGAGTAAACACCACCAAAAACAAAATCAATACATACCTTATCAAAGTGATTGACAATACGGGTGACTAGATGTGGATGTTGCTTCAGTATATCATCCCAACCTGGCGTTGATGTAATATATTTCGGACGTTGAAGAATGAACTGCAAGCATACAATTTGGGCAACTGGTACGTAATCGATCAGATCATTTAATGCGACTTTTCTTTATTTTCAGTCTTTCATTCATTCTCAAGTACAGGCCAGATCAAACCATAGTGATGACAAGCGTCGAAATAGTAAAGAATAAACTAAAGTGAAGCTGATTTACCTGAACTGCTCGTTCTTGTAATCGTTCCGCATTGTATAAATCGCCCAGTATCAACAATTGGCAAACATTCTCGTTTGCCAGATTCTCCACGAGGAACTTTTCACAGTGGTTCTGAAATAATGTAAGCCTTATGCCGAGATGAGCTAACCCTATTTGCTCTACTCAAAGTGGTAAGAACAAAAAAGCGCCAAATTCAGATGATTCTACAGTACCCAAGTTTTCAAGAAACAATATCTCGAAATTACAAACTGTCAGTTCCACTCACCTCATTTTCAAAGGATTAAAAAAGAAAATGAAAACAATCTGCTCACAAACCTTCAACTCCACTAGTCGATATTTATCCGCAGCGATGAGTAAATCAGTTGCAATGTCGCCAATTTCTTTTTGACAACGTCCACAGTATATATAGTAGACCAATTCATATACCACGTCATAATCCAAGTCAGAGATTTCCAACACTCCCTAGAATTCCAATGAACTAGTTTACGAGAGTGACTTACGAGTAAGATTAGGACTAAGTGCAATGCTATTTTCTCAAACAGGCAAATTCAATTAACCTACCGTGCCCTAGCCTTGCCATGCAAATAGAAAAGTTTACAGTTCAGTACAAGACCTCAAGAATTTACAAATTGAAAGTCGATGTGAAAATCACTTACGCTTTTCGTCTCGTTTGTCAATTCGTGCATCAGCATTGCTTGGAACACCGGTGATCTGAATGAAACGGGAATTCCCACAAATATTTTGCACAGCATGAAATGCATGAACGGAAAGCACTTGATTCCCACTCAGCAGCCTTCACAATCGTACTTTTATGCTCCCCTACAACTGATACGTCAACAGTATGATTTCCAAACCTGAACTAAAACAGGAACCCAAAAGTTATTGCTGTGAACATTTTCTGATGGATGGTCAAAATTGAAAGATCTGCAAAAGAAAGGGGAGGGGAGGGGGTTGTAGTGAATGTTAACATCTCAAAATATCCGAAATATAACGGCGATCGGGTCACAAAATGAACTGTCATGCTAAGGCCCTAGTCCTAAACTTCTTCCAGAATGATACGATCCATATAGTTTTTCGACCACACCCATAACGATTCGTTACATCTGGATACTGTAGTCAATTTGTGTTAGCATGACATGATAGAATTCAAAGGTGAAGAATAACTACTCCACAACAAAAGAGAACTGCAAAACTGTTCGGTCATCCTAATTTATTACTGCCGGTTAATTCCATCGAATGTTAACACTTCCACACTTTGGGTAAATCCTTTCGAAATGTAACAGGAGGTAGAAATATTTCGATTACCTTGCTGCCAGTATAGCACGATGCGCCCGAATTTCTCTTCCACCAACTCGAATCGTGAAATCCGTCAGCAGATCGTCACGGAACAGTCGCTGGTAATCTTCCACCAATTGCTGCTCGCAATTTGATGTCTGCAAAAAGTGCTTCTTGTCCTCACTTACCAGGGAGGGGTAGTCTATTTTGGAACTTTGAATTCAGACCCAGATAGATCGATAGAGTCTTGAATGCTGTTCACGAAAATGGAAATCAAAATTGCAAAATGATTCTCCTTAAAAAGTTATG